AAGCGTTACATTGCAACGCAGGGACCTATACCAGCTACTTTCAAGGTAGGCTCCCTCCCAACCCTCACCATGTCATTCACTAACTCTTTGATAGGACTTCTGGAACGTTGTGTGGCAGCAGGATGTTCGCGTCATCGTTATGCTGACTGCCGAGCAAGAAGGTGGACAAGTCAAGGCTCACAATTACTGGTCGGATAAGCGATACGGACCTCTACACCTCAACCCGCTTGGCGAACGCAGGGCATCCTTGGAGCCATCGAAAATCTACCGTCACAGGGAACAATCGAGGCCAACGATGGGTCAGCGCCGGTCAACGAACCCACCGAAGCTCGCCAACTTTACCAAGGAAGCCACTACCGGCTCTCCCAGCCAAGAGCAGCCCTATGTCACCGTTCGCAAGTTCACTTTGTCCAACGATGATGAACCTTTCGCACGTATGCGTGAAATCACACAGCTGCAGTATTCCCATTGGCCTGACTTTGGCGCACCGGCTCATCCCACCCACCTGCTCGGTCTGATTGAGCAGACAGACGCCGTCGTCCGCTCTGTCAATGGTGGCTCTCCTTCGCAGCCTGATCCGCCTAACAGCCGTCCGATCATTGTCCACTGCTCTGCTGGATGTGGTCGTACAGGTACTTTCTGCACAGTCGACTCGGTTCTGGATATGCTCAAGCGGCAACGACAAGCTCGCAACGCCAGGCAGAACACGCCAATGGATGCCGACTCCAACGATAAGCTCGCGAAGAACGAGCGTGAAGACGACAGCTGGGTGAACAATGAGGACATCGATCTCATTGCAAAGACGGTGGAAGACTTTAGACTGCAGCGTCTGAGCATGGTACAGAGTCTGCGACAGTTTGTGCTATGCTACGAGAGCGTAATGGAATGGCTTGTGGAGCAACATCCCAAGTCTGCGTAGAACGCGGCGACTCAGGTGATATCTTCCTGCGACGGAAACACCTTTGTTCCCGCAATCATAATATGGAAATGAGAAACACGAATTTGTTAACGACCAGGGAATCGGGGCAATGGGCGGCGTATGCATCTTGATTGGTGTAAGACTGGGGCTCATTGGGAGGCGTTCTGCATGCATGCGGCATTGCTTGGCTTAGAGCATATACATGGGTATGCATTGGGATGGGTGTCCTCGTCATTTCGGCGCATAAGGGGATTTGGGATAGTGTTTTGTGACTTTGTTTAGATAACTTGAGAATTGCATCCTATTGCATTTTACCTTCCTATTGTACTTTGACTGTATAGCACCACTCAAGGATGGCGCACTGGGAAACGACGGAAACTCGTACTGGTGAAAGCCATGAAAGGAGATGGTGCTTCAGTAATCAAATGTCTGGAACAGTGACCCTGTATATGTGCCAGTGGTTTTTCTTCATCATGATATTATCGGACCCATATAACAACAACGTCCTGGGGCTAGTTATACTACACGATTCCCACTACCAGGACAGAAAGAGAACAAACAAACTCAGCAAATTGCACACATCGCCATGCCCGCACGCAAGACAGGCAACCTAATACGCAGCATTCCCCTGGTCATGCTCCTTGATGTACTCAGCACCCTTTTCCAAGAACTCCTGCCTAGTAATAAAGTGTTGCTTCGATTCCTTCCTACCCGCCCATTGCGCTGCTCCACGCCAAGCATCCAGAACGCAATCCCCTGCTTTCCTCACATTGATTGCTTGCTCAGCGGGTAATACAGCGCGCAGTTCAGAGCGCAGGCGTTCCTCGAAGCCTTGGAACATGGTGTTGCCGCCGGTAAGAAAAATGTCCTTCAAGACGTTGTCGCGATGAGGTGAATCTGCCAGACGTTCTGTAAGGATATTAGATGCGATTTCTACGATGCCGGCTTGGTCGAGACCCGCGATGGTGGGTTGGAAAACTACTTCGGGCACGCGGATACGTTCAACGTTGAGATGAATCTGGTTCGTTTCCTTTTGGCTTTCGGCATCGTAGGGATAAGGGCCGTGGAGGAAAGAGTGAAGGATGGATTTTGTCCAGTCGGTTTGTGCTTCGCGAGTCGATTCTTCGGTGAAGTTTGGGTCGTGTTGAAGAAGTTGGGATTCGATCTCCTTGAGGTTCTTGGACAGGTCTTCCTCTTCTTCATCGTCGGAGCCTTCGCCTGTGGCGATGGTGCGGTAGACGCCCCAGTCTGCATCGTCGGCACCGAACGTGTCATCGTCGCCGCCGCCTCTTCTCCGTTTCTTAGTGGGTGCATCTGACGCGAGATTGGCAATCGATTTCATGCGCATTTGATTGGCGAGCGACTTTCGGTTTCCAAGTTCAGCCTTGAGGCGCTCGCGGTCCTTCATCTTCTGAATAATGGCTTGACGGGCTATCCGGCGTTCTTCTATCCAGCCTTGAGGGTCTGTCTCTCGCCGTTGATCGTCGAGTCGTTGCTCTTCTGCTTGGCGCGCCTTCTCCTTCTCCTTTTCGATCTTGGCACGCTGGCGTGCATCGTAGTTGGACTTCATCAATCGCTGCTGTCGCTTTTGCTTAATGCCCTCCTCGTCGAGCTGGTCATCCGGAACTTCGAGCAGGGGGAATGTAGGTACTTCGACTTGTTCTTCTTCGACGTCGCCAAGGTCCTTGTTACGAGCCTTCTTGATAGCAGCTTCCAGTTCCTTGACCCGCTTGTTGAGCTGGTTCTCGTCGTCGAAGTCGTTCGACTCTAATACGCGTGCCTTTTCCTTCTTGGTCGTAATCTCCTCGAGTTGCGCCTGCAGTTGTATGCACCACTCCAACTCTTCTTCCTTCTTCTTCAGCTTTTCAAGCCGCATCTTAGCAGCCTGAGCCTGCAATCTTCTACCACTCTCCTTCCGCTTCTCTGCCGCGGCAGCCAGCTCTTCTTCTGTCTTTTGTACTACAATCTGCTCAGTGTAGGGGAACTGGATAGTGTGATCTCGGTCTTCGAGGCCCGTCCAGTCCAGATAGCTGCTGAGGTCGTTCTCATAGTCTTGTGATACGTAGCAGTGCTCACGGACGAGATCTTCGGCCTGGTTGTCACTGATCTTTCCGGGGAATGTAGGGTACTTCAGCCTCAATAGCTTCAGCAGGTATTGTGCGGACTGGAAGCGTCCCCAGTTCAGACGCGTAGTTTGGGATAGGAGCGGCTTGGAGTTTACCACGGGGATAACATGTGTAGAAGTGTATGAGGAGTCCATGACCAGACCGTTGCGACCGCCGTTGTAGGAGTAGGAGAAGAGCGAATCGATACCGTATGCGACGGATGGTGCGCCGTAGCACTCGAAGAGTATTTCAGACATGGCTAGAGGATGCACGTTAGCTATCAGCACGATTAGATGCAGTACAAATGCACGTACTCTTCCGTGAATAGCCCAAATTGGCAACAGGCTCGGTCATAACGATGGGCCTGTCGATGCGCCCAGACCGGCCGTCTACACCCATCTTGACGAAGCAGTAGTCGAGCACGCCCTCCATGACATCCCAGTTGTTCACAATGTTGCTGCCAGGCTCATAGACGGGCTTGGATTGTCCTCGCGCGGTGCCGTCGGCGTAGACATCTGACCCAACAAAGGTAAAGGTGCGGTTGAGCTTGCGGTCGCGATACCTAGCCATGTTGGGTAGTACTGACAATCGGGGTTTGGAATCGAAGGACCATCCAGCGCGGACTGCGGACGAGCCTGTGATGTGTTAGTCGCCATGGCAGCTTTGGCGCATGCGCAGTCTGTACATACCATTGTCGATGACTATGGCGGTTTCGCTGTTGCTGCGCGACCAGCCTTCCTTGTCGATGGGCCGGAAGCCCTCAAAAGGCGGTTCCGACACGCTCCAGAGCTTGGGTGGAGGCTTGGGTGGATTGCGCCCTGCAAGTTGCGGCGCCTCGTCGATGGCCGAGGGAGCCATGGTGGTGACGTGGGAGATGGAGATGGGGATGCGACAGGTCCAAGGTCAGCGCGTTATCTCATGTCGCGGGTCGGAGATGTGGCGTGTGTGCCTGGCTAGCGCGATTGGTGCTGAGGATGCGCGGCATGGCGACTGCGGTGTGGTGAGGCTCTTGCAATGCTCGGTGGTCCGAGCCCGTCTCCGTATGTTAGGTACGCTACTTCACCTGCCGACGGTCTCGATTGAGTCTTGCACATAATGCTAACATGATCATATCTCATTACTGCTATCTATTCGCCTGTTTGCAGTCCCCACGTCCAGTATTCGAATTTCTCACGAGACTTGGCCTTGCCTTGGGTATTATCCCCTTTACACCAAGTATATCTCATCTTGCATGCTTAAGCAGGATCCTTCAGACCGTTTGTTGCTATGGCTCGTTAGCGCTATTACAAAAGCATCCCAGCATGACTATGTACATACCTTCCAGGTGGAAAAGAACGTTAGATTGGTAGTTCTTGAACATCTGAGCCACAAGCTCCGTATCCATGTTTTGGATGTTGATCTCTTGCAGGTTCTTGTTCAGCATCATGATGGCCTCGTTCAGCTTCTCCTTTCCGGTAGTCAGCATTGTTATCGTTGTGCATCGACATGTTGGATTGACTCACGACATTCACAATGATGCGAGAGAGCAACTGGCTCTGTTGGTGTTCGTGGGGGCTTTCCTAGAAACGTGGTCAGATCCACGCGCCGCTTACAATAGATTCCTCATGCCGTCCTACCATTTTCGCGACTCGATAGCGTTGCACTTGATAGTACGCGTTGGAGCTGTTTGGTGGGGAGGATGAAAGCAGTTAGTGCAGAGGATGCACATGCAGGTCCCGACACGGAACCTTGGAGAGCTCCACCTCCGCAAGCTCCATCGCGATACACACCGAGACTCTTCTACGCCCCCATACGTTCTTGCCACAACACGTATCCGAGCATCGCGACCCCTAGACACATCTCATTGAGACCTTCTTCGCACATAATCAAAACTTGGACATCGGCAGGCGACCAACGCGACAAGACAGCCGACGAGCGACCTCGAACGCACCCCAGCCCACCGACTGCGACTTGCTGGCTTCTTGATACCTCACAATATGGCGCCTCTAACAGCGGCCTCTGACGACAAGACGCATCAAGCTCTCCTGGACAAACTTGACATTTACGCGGTACCCAAGCCTTTCCGCAACCCCAACTGGAAGCCTCCACAACGCCGCAACAAAAACCTCAAGCAGATCCTCGGCGAGGCATCGCGCAAAGAAGCCTCAGTAATGGCTACGCAGAACAACAGTGGTAACTCGACACCTGCTGTAGCGACTGAAGGCACCACGGGCCGCCAACCCAACATCGCCCAAGCAGCCCAGAGCCTAAGCACGCTGGTGCTGGAGAAGAACGGCAGAGCTGCTGCTGGGCCGGCGCCTACATATACCAACATCGAGTCAGCCCCGAGCTTTCACCCGAGCAGTCAAAAGAAGTACTGCGACATCACCGGTCTCCCTGCGCCATACACCGACCCCAAGACGCGTCTACGCTATCACAACAAGGAAGTCTTTGGAGGCATCCGGACCATGCCGCAGAATGTATCCGAGGGCTATCTCGCCGCCAGAGGTGCACACACAATCTTGAAGTGAGCATTGTCTCCGCGTTGGCGTAGCTATTGCTGCTCCAATGTCGACTCATCGGTATGCGTCTTGCACGGGTGGCGCATCGCTCAACTCATCAAATACACGGCTACTCGTCCATTCGTTGATATGCGCGAGACCAATTAAGCTAACAACATGCCTCTGAGCCGGGCGAGGAACACTGCTCAGATAGGGTATCATTCAAGGTTTATGTATGATCATCAAAGTCAAACTACTCTCCACCCACCACAGGCCTCTCGGCTTGCGGCTCAAGGAGGTGCTCCGGCTTAACCGTGATCCAGTATTCTTCTGCGCCCATAAGACAGGATACCAGGGCCTCGAGGGAGGATTCCTAGTTACAGCAGCTCGAAGCATGCTGTTGTCAGGGCGGGATCTACGTTGTAATCATAATTCGAGTGTCTTGTAACTACAAGCGAACAATAAATCAATTGCTCTTTCATGCTGAATACCAGAGGCTTGTCTAGCTGTTCTCGCATTAGATGGGCTCGAGAGTTGTAGAGATTGAGGAGCATGCCACCAGAATTTTATGCGATTACCCGCGGGAACTGCAGCGCTAGCAGGGGTGAGCTTCGGGCCGACGGTCGATTGAGCGCGCCGCGTCTTCACTCGCAAGGGGACACGAGACAGGAAGACGAACGGTAGCACCCTTATGCCAGGTATACGTCGAGACTAGGTACTACTCTACTTCTTCCTCTCTCTTACGCCGTCTTCTTTCACATCGCTACGCAATTTCGCACGCCGCGCACTGCACAAACAACAAAATACCAAGATGCCGACCATGTGGCTTTCAGACACCCAGAGTAAGTTACGCAAAGATGCAGCCTCAGTCACCGCATAGGACATGAGCTAACGGCAATGACAGAGATTGGGGTCGCCTTCTGTTCAGGGGGTAGGTACGCGCCCACCACCACGAATGCACCTACTACTCAGCAGAAGATTGACAGCATGAACAGGCGGACTCTTTCTGATGGGAGGTGTCATGATGTTTTTTGATCGCGCAATGTACGTTTCAACTCTGCATATGCGTACAGCCTTTACTGACATGCGAACAGGCTGGCAATGGGAAACGTACGTCTTTGTCCCCCTCGAACCAAGTCCTCCGCTATCGAACCCTCCCTAATACCCACAATAGATACTCTTTCTGATCGGTCTCACACTCATCATCGGAACAACGAAAACGGTCGCCTTCTTCGCGCGCAAGCAGAAATGGAAAGGCACAGTGGCATTCGTCGCTGGTATATCACTCATCCTGATGCGCTGGGCTTTCATCGGTTTCATAATCGAACTGTACGGCATACTTGTGCTGTTTGGTGACTTTCTCATGACCATTGCGGGCTTCGTCAGCAATGTACCGGTGATTGGGCCATATATTGCCAAGGCACTGGAAGCGATCAGCGGTGCGAGGCGAAATGCTGATTTGCCTGTATGAGATGGGAAGGACAGTATCAGGGCTACGACTTTGACGAGCTATGGATGGGAATGCTAGGATATTGTATTATACGCAGTTGCACAGGTAGCGGCCGGGGGTTGCTAGCTACATGAATTTGAATGCAGCATGAATGGAAGGATGGTAAACACAGTGACTAGATGGCTCACGAAGCGCTTGTCTTTGTATCTCCTATGAATGACTAGGTGCCCGAGGCACGTTTCCAGAACATTTCCGTATGTGAAGACAGCGGATCTATTACAGTTCTTGTATAGTGACTGAATATAATGCAAGCGCAGCTTGTCACATCCAAATGCTGTTGTACAATGGTGGCGTGAGAAATGTTTCGAGTCGCAGGTCGGGTAGGTGGCCTAGGATGCCTTCACGTGGTTTCGCGTTGACGCGTTTTCAGGTTCCCCGCGATCGCGTAAGTGATCCGTCGCCGCACTTACCAAACTGCTGTCGCGCAGTCAAATCACGCCTCTTTACATCTCACTCAAGTTATCCAACATCCTTCTCACGCAACATGTCTCGCGAAGAATCGCCCTTCGTACGGGTTCCAGCCGAAGATGAGGGCTACAATTCGATTCATCGCGCGTTCCTACAAGCGTTCCATACGCACAGCGTACTCACAGTAGACGAAATGAAGTCTGTCCTCGCCCATGTGATGACTGCATACAGTCCGTCTTCTCTACGCCATTACCATTGCACAAGCTGACAACACCGACAGACCCCGAACGCGCATGGACAGCAGGCGACGTAACCCAGCCAAACATCACGTCCACTATACAAACCATAAACGCCAAAATCGAAGCCTTCGACTACGAGATCCGATCAACACGCGATCAGCAAACCAAAGAAAGCATATACGCCCTCGTTAACAACGCAAGCGACACCGTCACACAATTCGCTACTACCTTCTCTGCAAACGAAATTGCATACATCAGACGCGTCCTCGACCAAATGTTTGAGACGAACAACACCAACATCCGCGAGATCATGGCAGTGAAACATACAGAAGCCTCGCAGCTCGCTCGCACCTCACGCAGGAACAGACAGAGCCAGGCAAACAGCAGACAGAGCCAGATCAACGGCGATGCAGACGACACCCAGGCCAGCGCTGATACAGGGATATCAATAGCTGAGGCAGATCAGGTCCTGGAAACACTCGTCTCGCAAGCCTTCTTCCAAAAGTCCAAAGCGGGTTACTACTCCCTGGCTCCACGCGCGCTCATGGAACTCCGCGCTTACCTCAAGGAAACGTACAATGAGTCTGCCGAAGATAACGAGGATGGGCGGGAGATCATCAGGATTCGGGATTGTGAGGGATGTAAGGAGATTGTTACGTTTGGCATAAGGTGCAACAACCGAGAGTGTGGGGTTAGGTGGCACGATGCGTGTGCTAATAGCTACTATCGAGGCAGAAGCGGGGATCGTAGGAAGTGTCCCAAGTGTCAGACGGAATGTACGGGAGACGTGTTTGTAGGAGAAAGGGCGGCTTGGACGGGAGCAAGGACGAGCACTGGCGGTAATCGGCGCAGCACGCAGCAGCAGGAAGTGGAAGACGAGGAAGAAGATGAGTGAGAGCACGTGATAAGAGCCAGGAACGTCAGAACGAAGATACCCGTGGGCACTCAGGCGTTGGATGTTTTATGATTTGGAGTTGAAGCCAAGGATTTTGATTGGTTCCATCATGTATCTCGTTCATCGATCATAAGTCAGTCCCTATCGTCTCATCCATATCTCAAACTCTCTAGACTTTTGCCAACGCCAAATACCCCATACTATATACATGGTCTAACCCGAACACTGCACTCGGCAGGAGCGTTTAGTGTGCACCGTTGGACTTGCTCTGGTTTGCCCGCCTCTCGGCGACAGCAGATGCAAGGTTCTCGAGAGTATCAACGGTGCTATCCCAGTCGATGCAAGCATCTGTGATGGAGACACCCTTCTTCAGGCCGCTAGGTCCCTCAGGTGGGACCTTCTGGTTGCCCTCGTTGATGTTGGATTCGATCATGACACCAACAATTCCTGTCTCGCCGTTGCGGATCTGGTCGGCAATGTCCTTGGCTACGAGGGGCTGGTTGCGGTGGTTCTTGTTGGAGTTGCCTATCAGACGTTAGTGTATGTAGTTTGAGCATTTTTGCATACGGGCACGTACCGTGTGAGCAGTCGACCATCATGACCTCAGGCAGGTTCTTCTTCTTCAAAGCCTCTCTGGCAGCCTTGATGCTGTCCTTGTCGTAGTTGGTACCCTTGGATCCACCACGGAGGATAACGAAGCAGTGCTCATTACCTGCCGTCCTGGTGATAGCAGCCAGACCTTGCTTCGTTACGCCCATGAAGTGGTGCTTAGCAGCAGCAGCACCAATCGCATCGACCGCTACGGTCAAGCCTCCATCAGTACCGTTCTTGAATCCAATAGGGAAAGAGAGACCAGAGGCCAGCTCACGGTGCAATTGTGACTCGGTTGTTCGCGCACCAATAGCACCAAGAGATATGAGATCAGCGAGGAACTGTGGAGAGATGGTGTCGAGCATCTCGGACGCGATGGGCATGCCCGCAGATGTGAGGTCCACGAACAACTTGCGCGAGACCCTCAGGCCCTTGTTGATCTTGTAGCTCTCGTCAATGTCGGGGTCATTGATCAGTCCCTTCCAGCCGACGGTTGTGCGTGGTTTCTCGAGGTAGGCGCGCATGATGATGCAGAGGTTGTCTTGAAGCTTGTCGGCGAGGGCCTTGAGGCGTTGGCAGTACTCGAGTGCCAGCTCTGGGTCGTGGAGCGAGCAGGGCCCGACCATGACGAGGAGACGGTCATCTTTCTGGGTAATGATGCTGGCGGCTTCCTTGCGACCTTGAATAACGGTCTTTTCGGCATGTGCGGGGATGGGGATCTCGGACGCGAGAAGTTGGGGTGGGATCAGCGGGTCGTAGCCAAGTACGCGCACATCGTCGCTCGGGTTGATGGACATGTCGGGTGTTTCTGTTGCAGCGGGAGCCATTGTACAGTGGGTAGACTATCTTTGTGTATATTAGTATGCGCCTAAGCGACTGTCAATTTGCGGTCAGTCTTACTTGGACTGTGGCACAGACGTATGCGAATGTACAGCAGCGAGGTCGTACAGGGCGTGCAGTAGAGTGCAAAGAGGGGCGTTAAGTGTCTCGAGTCAGAAAATCAAGCGTACAAGTGGTGTATGCAGGCGCAGGTCCGAGGTCGGCGAGAATGACAGCCAAAGGATATAGTGAGGGCGTTGCAAATACAGTCATATGCCACCAAATTATTTGGGAAACTTTAGGTCGGAGTGGGGCTGATGGTTGGTTCTGGTCCCGCAGACTATCGATACACCGTCGACGGAGCTTTGCAGCTGCATGTGCGCCAAGCTCGTTACCCTGGAATTGGGAATCGCCCTCTTCCTGTTGGTCCATGTACATGTATGTTGCTGCTGGACGACGACGGCGTGAACATTACCTTGTGTTTTCATCTTAATGTAGTCTGCAGACCGGCTCAGTTCCAACTTCTGGTATGAGGTGGCAGGCTGGATGGAAGCGTTGGCGGCACTGT